AAACTGCAAATCATGACTAAATAAAACCCATAAAAACTGAAAACCTCAAGGACCCAGGGAAAAGGAAATTTTTTTTTTTTTTTTGACAGTGAACCACATACAGGCAGAGAGCTCATCTTTTTTAAACTTTGTTTCTCTACTCTTCACCCCAAATTTGGTTTGGTTATTTTGGATTTTTTTTAAACATTTCTTTTCTTCCTTTCTTTTTTCTTTTCCTTCCTTTCTTCCTTTCTGCTTCCTTCCTTCCTTCTTTTTTATTTTTATTTTTTTTAGATTGTATTTATTTATTTTATATGTATAAGTATGCTGTAGCTGTCTTCAGGCACACCAGAAGAAGGCATCAGATTCTGTTACAGATGGTTGTCATCTACCATGTGGGTGCTGGGAATTGAATTCAGGACCTCTAGAAGAACAGTCAGTGCTCTTAACTACGGAGCCATCTCTCCAGCCCTCCCTCTTTTTTTCTCTCTCTCTCTTTCTTTCTTTCTTTCTTTCTTTCTTTCTTTCTTTCTTTCTTTCTTTCTTTCTTCCTTTCTTTTCCTTTCCTTCTAAAGATAGAGCTCCTACCTTGGCATTATAATGTGTGCTTCCTCACCTGACATTTTCTTCCTCTTTTTCTGTTAATTTCACTTGTTGGTTTGAGGCATTGTTCTCCTAAGGCTAAGGCTGCTCTGGAAATCTTGCTCTTTCTGCCTCTAGCTCCCTAGTGTGGTACTTGCTGGCATGCTCTACCACACTGACAGGACCATCCTTATAATCCATTTTTGCTTCACATATCTCCACTACCTTAAAGTCCTTTGTGGTCTCTGACTCCTCTAGACAGCAGTAAGCACAAAATCTGTAACAAATCTTTGTGCTCAGTGTCTGTAACCGTTCCATTGTGCTGAGTCAGAATTCTGAAAAACAAAACAAAAAAACAAAAAAGAAAAATTTTTTTGGCAAGTAATAAATACGACTGTGTAATTGATGTGATAGAATGTAGGGATCCATTCTTCTGTTTCTCTAAGAAGAGTAAGTAGAGAATGAATGCACATGTGTAGATGTCTTATCTGATGTCATTGTAACCATTACAATTTTGGTTTGTGGCTTCCTTAGGTACTTGTTAATAGACTTGTTTTCTTCATTTGTGTTTTAGAGGGATCTAAAGTGTTTGGACGTATTTTGGTTTAGGGTTTTTATTCTGTTAGTTCTAATGGCACTCTAGTAAGCCATGTAGAACCATGTCTTTCATGCGGTGATGAGTTTTTGTGAATTTTAATTTTCCTGGAAAGAGCTTCATCTTCTGAGGAGTCTGTCTTCATCAGGTCTTCCCACGGGAATTTTTTCACGACATCTTTGTTCTTGAGCGCATGCGTGGGCACATATTTCTAGGTTGTAGACTTGCAGATTCATATCTCTAAGTGAGGCATCATCTGTAGGACGTCTACTCTTTTACATCTGTTTCAACAATGGGGCTGACTGTTTATCAGTCTTCCAACTCAGTGTGGCTTGAAGGTTCAACTTTACCATCAAGTAAAGCAGAAACACGGAAAAGCACTAGTTTATTCTTCAACCAAGTCTTACTAATAGTTCCTATTCTTCTGTTCTTCCTTTGTTTTCTCATTTTGTCTGAGGCACTTCACTGCCTTGACCACATAATACTGTACCTACAGCTGCTCTGAGATGTGACTAGCATTAGCCTTTAGCACCCAAAATGCTTGAAGTCTAAAGATCAGGTCAGCTCTCCGTTCTGTTGCTTTGTTTTAGCTAACTCATGTTCTACACTGAGTGGTCCATCACATGTCACAACGGGCTTATAGTTTGAATTTATAAAACATGTATACTAACCCATGAGGAAAAAGCGCAAACACGGGAACAGTATGAACCCAGTGAAAATGCATTACAATGAAGAGAAAACTTTAATAGTCAACAGAAATGAAAACAGTCGGTATTGTCAAACACAAAAATACACAGCTCTTGGGGTGCGTGGTGGCTATGTCAAATTCAATGACTTTTCAGTGACTGATAAAAGATGTGAAGGATCTCTTGATTTGTTAGAATAAACAATGGAGCAATTGCTTTGGGGAAAATTTTTCAATTCCGTTTCCCAATAATAGTAAATATATGCAATACTCTAACCCCAATACCCTACAGCTTCTAATTTAGCATGTATTCTCAAGGACTTGTATGCAGTTTTCTCTAAAAGCAATGTTTAGTCAAGCAGAACTCCAGGAACAACCAGAATGTTTAGAGATTTGCAAGGGTAAATCAGATCTGGTGTGTTCATCAACTAAAGTACTGCACAGCAAGCAGGAAAAGGAACCATACTAGTCAAAGTGGATAAAACTCACGCCCTCTCAGAAAAATGTGCTACTCACTGGACTTTATGCAGGATGATTCCATTCTGATGGCATGAGTATTCACAAGTAGATATTAAGATCCACTATTTTTCCCTTGGTCAATTAATTTCTTTTGTTTTATTTTGCCTTCTATTTGAGGGATGGGCCTCACTGTGTAGCCCATGCTAGCCTGGAACTCATTGCCACTCACCTACCTCAGTCTCCTGAATACTAGGATTACAGGCAAGGACCCCACCATGTTTTACCTACTTTTCTAGTTATAATGTTCAATAGGACAAACATTCTTTTCCTCTTTATATTTGATAGGTTTATCATACACAAATAGTTCTTCCAGTGGTATATTTTATGACTCATGTAAGGAATCTCTATGCCCAGTATTCTAGTGTTTAAGACTACTCAGTGAAATGAATACTGTTTAGAAATTTTCTTTCTCATTCTTGAAATTTAAACATTCTACCTAGGATATTTAAGTTCTCAATGAAATGTTGATGGAATTGGTCAGTGTGGGAAATTTTTGAAGATTCATTAAATAGGGCTGAAATACTGGCAATTAAATAGCATGTTAATTTTGAAACTGTGTAGCATGTGGCCTTTAACTATGATCCTCTTCTGTGGTAAGTGGTAGGATTATAGGCATTCGGCATGACATGGAACCTTCAACACTATTTTCTTAATGATAAAGTACTTCTCTATAACTTTTCACATGTTTCACAAATCATGATTATAATATCATCCTGAAAAATCTCAAATGAACAAAGAAATATCAAATGGAAACTGGGTGAAGATTTACAAGAAAAATATTCAGAGGAACTCACCCCGAGGTGCTCTATAAACCAGGAACCTTGCAAGGCCATGGGCTTTGCAGTCTTTAGACTTGTTCTCCAGACTCAGTCTTCAGACTCATACCATCTTCATATTTGCACAATCAAAACTCCCACATTGACTCACTGTTTTTCATGTTCTTTTAATCAAAAAGAGAAGTTGTTCAAAGTGTTTGGATACTCCCCAAAGTCACACATTAGGGGAAGACAGAGAGATCTAAGCTCTTCACCATCCCCATCTCGTTTTAGTTTCTGCATGAACATTGTGTTTGGGAATGGGTTTGGAAATTGAAAAAGGTCCGGGATGTGTTGCTAGTCTTTAGTGTCACAAACAGCTCTGTAGTTTCTCTGCTCAGTGTTCTGTCCCCTTTGCCTTCATGATGTTCCATGTATGGAGAAGGCCTTTGTGCTTCAACCTTTATTTCAACCACTCTTTAAGTTCTCCACTGCAGACAAACTGCCATGTTCCAGGAGCTAGGATGTTGATTGGATGGCTAATGATAGGTTTATGGAAGTGAAATGTTACTGCTTGCTTTTCCTCACCAGAAAAACTTAGAACAGTGGTGATGGAACAGCCCTGTCAGGTCACAGGTGCTTACAGAATAACAGTATGGCAGAGAGAGGACTGCTTTTCTCTATTACAGCAGGCCATTCATGCCAACAACCTTGGTTTCAGTTGGGAGACTCCCTTTATCCTTCAGTTTTCACACAATTTGCTGAAATTTTATTGAAGGTTGGTAGTGTCGCTCAGGGTTAGAGCACTTGCCCAGCAACCATAAAGTTGTAGGTTTGATTCCCAGGATAGTACAACTTACATTGTACAATATATAAACAGACTGGTAGCCAACAAAAAAAAAACCCTAAAATAACCTAAAATGTATACTGCTAAAAAGTATAACTATCCTTGATCTTGGCACATGTCTTACACATTAGTCATATGGTTCTGGGACATGTGTTAAGGAATCAAGAAATAAGTATTTGCATTAGTTAATCCTCTCACAATTTTTTAAAAAAGAATTTTGCAGCATCCAATAAATACATTAGATGGGTGTTTAATTTTTTTCTTCCCATCAGTTTGTGAAATATGGTGAGTGTTACTTAGGAAAACATGAAGAAATGGTAGAGATTGAATGACTTTGCCACCATCAAGACGTGGGAAAGCTATTGTTGTTCTTGGTGTTTCCTATCCCTTTTGTTAGAAATAAGTAAAGCTAGTAATTATAATTGGACCCAACAAGAGAGTCTCACTGTTACTCTCTAAATGGTCTTCTGACAGAAAGACAGAAGGAGCTAGAGAGAGAGAGAGAGATTGAGTTGATTGAAAAAGACAGCATGTAGATCATAGTTTAATGGACTCTAGTTTAAGTTCTGAATTAATGATTAATATGTCTAATATCTCCCATTTGCTCTTTCCAGTTTTAAAGTCTGTGTGTGTAAAACAAATGAATAAACCTTCTACTTAGCATGTTTATTTTAGCACATTGTTCCAGAGAGCAGTAGGTTGTAGGAACAATTGATAAGATACTCAAAAAAGGGAGACCTGGGATCCAGAGCTGTGACATAGTGAGTCAGAGTGGCAGTCTAACACCCACGCACGGACATGCACATGATCACTGCTCGGTTTTCTAGTCCAGTTTCTCCATGTAGAGACGACTCATCTAGAATTGAACTTAAACTCCTTGTTGTACATATAGCTCACAGTCAACAACAGAAGTGAAGGGCTGAGTATCATTGGGCTTGTAACTTGGACCAGTTTTTTAACCCAGTTTTTGGATAACATGTGTTATTTTGTGTCTCTTCTTTCTCTCTGTGTGTGTTCCCCTCTTGCCTGCGACTGAAGACTGTTGTGTCCACTGTATCCTGGCATGCTTGTTCTGTGAATTCCTGACCCTCTGCAACATTGTCCTGGGACAAGCTTCGTGTGGCATCTGCACCTCGGAAGCCTGCTGCTGCTGCTGTGGCGACGAGATGGGGGATGACTGTAGCTGCCCGTGTGACATGGACTGTGGCATCATGGATGCCTGCTGTGAATCCTCAGACTGTTTAGAAATCTGCATGGAATGCTGTGGCATCTGTTTTCCGTCATAAAGATTTATCTCTTGTTTGTACTAAAACTGGAGACAACTTTGCAATATTTCTTGTAGGGGAAAGAAAAGCACATGGTAAGACTCCCATGAAGCAACTCAGTATTTGCACTGTTTAACTCATTCCTTTTGAGTAGTAACTGAAATGCTTCCTCTTTCACCAGGTGTATGTGGTTTAATATGTGAAGTGTTAACTGACTAACTGGTTTTTGAAGCTTTTTCATAGATGATAATAATTGGAAGACATTTTGACACACACAGCCTGAAATGTTAAATGTCTTCTTTCTGTTGACATGTCTGTTTTCCCTAACCATTCTGAGCAGCTCTTGGCTCTAAATACAACAGTGCTCACTATGTATTTAAACCAGATCACTTTGATTTTTATCTATTAAAGGTTAAAAGCAAACATTTCTTTTTTATTATTCTAAGCACAAACATTGGGCAGAGCAGTAAACAGATGTGGAACTCTTCTGCATTGGTCTGCTCTGGGCTTTCCACCTCTCTTGTTCTGACTAGAGCACACTGAGGAAAATCAGGTTGCTCTATCCAGAGCAATAGGAAGCATCATGGAGGAGAACAGGAGGGGAGCTGTAAAAAATGACCCAGGTTTCTAGGCACGCTGGCTTCAGCACTGTAAAGACAAGAGGCCGTAGGAACAAACAGAAGCGAGTAATGGATTGCTGAGGGAGACGTGGAGGGGGATGTGGCCTTGTGAATGGCCTAGGATGAGCTACTTAAATTTAGGGAAATGTTGAAGGTGGACCTGTCTGCGCTCTGAACAAGTGAAAAGAATTTGCCTTCATTGTACATTGCAGCAACACAGCTTTCTTAGAACTGTAAAATCTGAACGAATGCAAATATGCACTTTGCTACACATAATTTAAGTGTTATAAATTTTAATGAAAACATAATACCTTGTTAACATAACTATATTTTACCAAAAAATTGTAGAACACTTTTTAACAAAGTTCATTTAAATGAGCTTTTTTTTTTTTAAGATTAAAAAAAAATCCCAGTATTCATTGGGGTTTTTCCAAAGCGGGATTATATTTGGAAAGACTCAGTTCTTTATCATGCAGGGGTGGTGTCAGGGGGGAGGCTTTATTTATTTTCATTGGCTTGTAGTCTTAGCCTTGTTGTATTTCATAAGTATGTAAGTTTTGGATCCACTACAGGAGGACCTCAGAGGTCCACCACCATCAACAGATTAGGATTCCAACTGTGAGTGAAATTAGGCCAAGTGGCAGATTATAAAGATACTAAAGTATGAAGAATAAAGTACAAAGAAGAGAGTCTGAGATAAAAACTCATTCTATAGTGATAGAGTCAGCTCATGTGAAAGGGAGAGTTCGGTTTCACACACATCCTCCCATGTGGGTTTGTTTTTTTGTTTGTTTTTTTCTCTCTCCAGATTTCAAATTTCATTACATTGACTAATTCCTTGTAGGCTCTTGAGAGTATGTTTTTGTTAGTGGTTCTTTCTAGTTCCGGATGAATGTTAGATTGTTAGAAATAATGCATTCCTAGGGATCCTTTAGCCGGCCTAGACCTTTAGGAGACCTGAACTTATTTTTTTTTTTATCTTGAAGAATGGCGACATCACCAGTGTCTTTCCTTGGAAAGTTAGCCTGGCTTACAATTAAATTATGATTTTTAAATATTCTTTGAAAAAGAAAAGCAAGTGTGTCTCCTTTCTCGTGCAATTTACACGTGCATGTACTTTAAATACAATCTTAACGTACAGCTGCCTTCTTTCTCGTCTTTGAAACAGAAGCTTTGATTTGCTATGTCAAATATAATGGCGACTTTAGTATTTCCATATACTCAGTGTTAGCTTGCGCTTATACCATAGGATAAAGAAGAACCATCTGTTTATGAATAAGCCTCCTAATGATTGTTAAAATATTTGCCTCATTATCCTGTAAAACTGTTTAACCAAGAGTCTTGTCTGATGCTTGAATATATCCTGCTATGATTTGCAATGAAAATGTAAGTGCATTAGAAATGTTTTTCTGTAATAGAGAGCATTAGTGAATACCAGAATTTAATTTCCATACTTGTACGTGTAGGAAGTTTCTTCAGCTCTCTACTTCAGGCAAGCCATTCCTTAAGGCATCTTGTATAATTCAAAAGAAAAATAGGCAAATGTGAAAACAGTTTTAGCATATTTTAGAATTTTGGTATATAAAGTGTTTTCTTGAATCTTATGGCCGTCAAGACTGATTGCTATAGTTTACACCTAGATATTCAATCTCTTTTTAAATGTGGCATATTTTCAAACTGGATCTTGGCTACTTTAAAATTAAAAGAAATATGACTACTTATTGTGCTTTATGATCCTTTTGTATGTAATTAATATATTAGTTGCTTTATATTTAAATAATTTCAACAATAATTTAAAACCCAAAGATTTTCGTTGCCATTTTTAAGGTCTTCCTGAAAAAATTGCCAGTCTCCCTGCACAAGACTCATGCCTGCTAATGAACTGAGAAATATGTGGAAAGCATTTGTCTGCAAGTCATTGCTCCCCTATGATACCAATATACAGTGTTCTTTTAAATATTCACAGCATGTAAAAATATGAGCTTCTTTCCTCACTCTTTCTTCCTTCATTACCTGCCTCCTGCCCCTCAGTCCTTACCCTCTCCTTTCTTTCTTTTCCTTCCACCTCTTCTCTCCTTCCCTCTTCACATACTTCACTTCCTCGAAACAGTATTCAAAGATGACTTGCACCTCACTGTATAATAGCAAACTCATATCAGTCATCCTCCTCAGCCACCCAAGAGCAGGAATTAGTCCTAAATAATCCACTAGTTTCCAACTTTTTAAGTAGATTGATTTCATTTATTTACTTAAGGAATGTGTTTCTGTTTACGAAACTCAAAAAGCTGTTTTGTATGTGCTAACATTGAGTGGCAAATATAAGTATTCCAAGTCATAAAGTTGGGTATTACATTTAACGAATTTTACATACAACTCCATTGTGAGAACTCTTTTTTACCTAAGACAGCAATGGCAAATATTTAGAGATACTTTGGAGTTGAGATTTTACAAAAACAATGGTATAACTATTCATGATTAGTTTTTTTGGTTTTCATTTTTTTGTTTGTTTGTTTTGCTGGGGCTTTTTGGTTTTGTCTGTTTTTTTTTTTTTTTTGAAACAAATAACTTTATTCTCTTGCTTCACAGTGGGTTTCTGTAACCATTTTCTTCATCTGAAATGCTGGTGTTGTCTGAATAGATCAAAGAGTAGCCAAGGCAACCCTATATAATAACTTGCCATTATCTATCCATAAAATCTCCAACCTCCAGACTCTGAAATTCTATCCATTACACATTACCACCTAACAAAGCCAAGGCTCCATCCAAAGAATGACTTGCCTTCTACAATGCCACTTAATGTTTATGTTTTTCTATCCTCTTAATCATTTAGTAATAATGATATTTACTAATATATTAATAACATTACTACTAAGATCATTTTTAGTTTAACACTGTTCAAAACTTTCCTCCTTTTCAATCCCTTGTGATTTGTAGGTCCATAGGACTAAGGTTTTATCAAATGTTATTTTCCCCTCTTCTTATGCTAATGCAGTAACATACCAATATTTTGAAACAATGGGTAATATATTGCTAGCATTTCTTTCATATCTCCTTACGTTCTTAACCACGTATTTGTTATTGCTGGACAGTCCTTGCAGTGTTCATCTCTATGAGTGTTTTTTATGTGCTTGATACCAGATGTCCCAAGGAAATGACATAATGCTCAGGAAGTTTCAACCCAAGGAAGAAGATTGACATCTCCAGAGAGGAACTGATAACTCTACCACTGCGGCTTCCATTGTTGCTTAACTCTTTAAGATTATTTTTAGAGCTTTGATTGTAAATAGAAAAAAGTTATAGAAACAGAATGGCATTGTAGTACAGCCCTAATATGAAAGTTGGCTTAGTAGAAATGGTCACTGATTACTAAATTGACCCTGTGTCTTCCCATTGCAAAATTTCCAGTGAACAATGGCAGCATGTTTTACTTTAAGAATCTGAGACTTGGGCTGGAGGGGTAACTTCTGCTCTTGCAGAGGACTCGTATTCCAAAGAATCTGAGTGTTATCAGCACTCACGTTAGGGAACTTACAACCACATGTGACTCCAGTTCTGACGGATGTGACAACCTCTTCTAGCCTCCTGGGATACCTATATGTACATGTGCATCTAAATTCATGGCCCCTCTGGCACACAGAAATGATAGATAGATAGATAGATAGATAGATAGATAGATAGATAGATAGATAGATA